CTATGGCAACATTTGTATTAATTGTTGCTCAGCACTTTGCGGGCCCCTTTCTCCTAGGTAAGAGATTTAATATAATTGTTCAATATTCTATTTTATTGTATCTTTGTCTGTTTGTTGAGTCAAATAATATGTAACTTACAAGAGCACATACATTGCTATAGATATAATGGTGGGATTCAAATAATTTAACAACCAGTTCTCTACCCTAATGTAAAATCTGTTCGTGGTCATCACTGGCGCGACACGCCTCACATCGTCGTCATCACTGGCGTGACATCAGTGTCACTAGCGTGACATGCCTCGCGGTGGCATCACCAGCACAACACACCTTGCAGATTTATCATAACTGGTCCGCCAAACTCAACAAAAAATTAAGTATTGGTTCTGCCGAACTGTGCGAACCGGCTGAATCCCACCACTGTATAGGTGTCATATGACCTTTGAATCCACTGGTATGTAATTTTATGGTGTGCAACTAATAAGACACTGGGAAAATTATAGTATACCAATCTAAGCACAACTAATGAATTTGCTACAGCAAAAACTAACTAAAGCTTTATGGGAAAATTAATCAGCTAGGGTTTTTTTGTCTTCAATAATTTTTTGGTTCACTGTTCAGCTGTGAATGATTACAATTTAAAAATGTCTAGTAATATTTTTGAAAACCTAATATTCTAAGCAGAATTGTTAATTTGATTTGGACATCTATTTTCAAATGTATTTATCTTCAAAATAGATTTGGACATCTATTTTCAAATGTATCTTAGTGGTACATTATCAAATGTACCACTAAGTCATTCAGCAAACTAGTTAGTATTAGTATTAATAACCTTGCAGGGACATGCAGCAGATGGATAGAATATGTTTCCTATTGACTTAGAATGATCACTTTATATAAATTATGAGGGCAAACATTTTGGAAATTAAAATGGTTTTTTCCTTACATTGTTTTACCTAACTCTCATAAGGTGCTATAAGGCATCAGTAAGGCAATAATAAAGAGCAAATCTGCAAAAATAATATGTGATTAATTTTGTACCATGTATAGGTTTTGCCAACTTAAAAATTCATTGAAATATACAATTCTGCCAGAAGTGCCTAAACTTGTGCATGTGACTGCATTCTAAGAAGCTATTTTATTTTTTTGAACTCAAGTTACTTCCATAAATTCTTCATGTTGTTGTATGGAATTATTTGTCTTAAAGTTAGCTTCATTATTATCTGATAAAAATTATTTGTAATGCAACTTTGTATTTATTCTATAGTTTAATTGACCGAAGAGGATTTATCCAACCAGATACCCCTCAGCCAGCAGCTCCCTCAAATGGCATTACAATGTATGGGGCCACACAGTCTCAGAGTAATATGGTAGGAACCATCCCATAATGTTGATCAAGAACTCTGAATGTTTCTCTTTTCTACTTTTCTGAGAATAAGTCAGGTCACTAAGCTGAGTCCTTCTAGTACTTTACAATAAAAATCTTCCATGAATATATTGCAATAGGCTTTCTGTGACATCAACATTTTAATAAGCATTAATGCAAAATTTAAAAAATACTATAAGAACACTAAGTAAAAATTAGTAATCTAAATTGAGATTGACACGATTAATAGAGAATTGTCATATTGGAACCTCTGTACCTTAATGCTACTTTTTGATGGTTGGATGTTCAATAAGGCATTTATTGCTTTTTTAATTGTTTTCCTTAAATGCCACTGGCTGTACTGCATAAATTCTTGCTACCTGAGATTTCCTATACTGTACAGCTCAGCATGTCACTATGAATATTTCAAGGGAATAGTTTGAATTTCTTGTGAACATTCTGAAAGCCACTATATTTAATTATTGCAAATTTTTAACTCATGTTTTTATAAAAAAAAGAATCCTAATTAGAGTTGTATTCTTCTGGTATATTAAAATTGTGTCAAACTCCTTGTATATTTTTATTCCTCCTATTTCTAGACTTCAAAAGAAGGAAAAATATGAATCCCAAACCTTTAAATTTTTTTCATTTAAGTGAAGTACAGTAATAGTACACCTTTTTATAGCTATGTGAATTCTTTTTATACTTTATAACATTAATATAAGGCTTTTCCCTTGATCAGTGATTCCTCAGGTGAGTTCATTGATCATTTTTCATATCTGCCAACAATATTAATTTGTTATATTTTAAATATCAAACATTTTATTGACTCCAGTACCAATAATATCTTTTATAGTATTACTATAAACATAATATAGTTTTTTTAATTTAACACAAAAAGTCATTGAGTATAAGTAAGGGTATATAAGAGAAATAAAATATTTGCTTGCTATAAATGAATGGATTTATTTTAAGCACCTTATGCTGCTAACAATATTTTTTCTCTATTTTTCTGTCATAGTAGTGATTGCATATTAGCATTTTTAGGCAGAAGTGTGTAGGTCAAACAAAACTAAGAAAATGTTAATAAATTTGTTATTTAAAATTGAGTTCAGGTGTCATCTTATTTTAATATCCGTTGGGCATTTTTTTCTTGCTATAATTTTACTTTTTTGCCTTTATTGGATGTTGTAAAGAAATTTCACATTTATAACTGGTTCCCACATGAAAACTGAAGAAAGAATTTGAAGTCACTCAGAAATCAACTTATTAATTTAGTCTTTTGATGTGGTCATTTGTGGCTCTCTTCCCTCAATTGTTACCACTATTTTTTCTGATCTACGTTTTCTGTACTCTAACCTGGTTTTAGTTGACTGATCAATAAACTATTCTTCTTTGCTATTCTTCCTTTGTATGCTTCTCAAATCTCCCTTCAGTACCAACTATCTCAAGAGTACAGTACCAGATCAATTTAATATGGCTATATTATCACTGAATAATTTCCTTAACTTGCAACTTAATCAGTGTTAAACTAAAATTTTCTAAAAGAAATAGATAATCTGTGATGTAATTGTTTTTCTTTTTCCTCTCCCCAAAATAGAGATGAAATCAGCATTAAGTCTTTCTTTTGAATGAAGTCTCCTAATATTGATCAATTACTGGTTTTAGCCAGTAAAATATATTTATTGCTGGGATAAATAATAGAATTGTATATTTTTGTGTTGATAGTTGTAAATTCAGATAAAGGCTTGCAGTGAAATCAGCATGTGTTCTGATAACACTGCATATGACGAAGCTAAGAGTTAATAGCCTTTTGATTTCATTTGGGCAGTAGTTTCTGGGCTTTCTAGATATTTCTCATAAAGTCAATACTAACTAAACATTTTAAAGACTTCCAAAGATTTTTTTAAAAAAATAAATTCAAATCTATATTAACTGAAAATTAACCCAAAAACACAAACTTATTAAAACTTATCTTTAAATGGTCACACATGGATATTTAATTAAGTTTGAATAAGATGTGGTTTGTATGATACTAAAATGATGATTTGTCATTGTAAGGCTTCCCAATGAAAAATAATATTCAAGGGATGCCTTACTGTCTGATCATAGCAGAAGGTTTCTGGTATCATCAGATAACAGGACATTTTCCCTTCTTCCGTAGATATAGGAAAATAATATACATAGTCCTATTAAAATAGGAAATAGCTAGGGAATTATACAATAAAAGCCCATTCTAGAAGGATTCTTTGTAAGTAATTGCTTCCTTTCTTTTATGCCTTTCAGCAAAGTTCTGTTTAGTTTCCCCATGTTATTAAGGCATGGATTATAACCTAATTGGCTCTTTGGGGACAATTTCTAAGGGCCAGTAAAGATCAGGAGATATTGAAAATGAGTCTGTAATTGTAAGCCAGTGCGTTTTATTTGTCAGAAATGCTATGTATGTTTGTTCAGTTAAGCAGTCAAAATAGGGAAATGGGTTTAAAATAACAGTGATTTTATATCTGTCCTTAGCATCATGATGTTCGTCAATATGTATTGTAACATTGTACTGTTAATTTTTAATCTTAAAATTTGTAAATCTGGAAACAAAATTCCAGAAAAATTCAATAGTCTAACATGTTCTAGTGATATGTGAAGGTTTGGTGATGATGATCATTTCAAAGTGTATATATGTTTAGATTATTACTTCAGAGTTTTGCTCCTTTAAAACTAGTCTGCTCTCCAATTTAGTTCCTCTAAATTAGTTATTAATGCTACTTCACTCTCATAGTTCTCAGTATCTAAATCTGTTGAAACACTGCAAATTTGATAAGCCCTTATTGCTTTATTTTTCTAATGGATGAATGATGAAAATAAATGATCTCCATAATACCCCTTTAAAGCGTCCCTTTCCATCTGAAATACTAACTTTGTTGCAATTAACTAGGCAACTAATTGATATAGCATAGTTTTTAATTCAGTATGAAGGTAGAATTTGCTTACTGACTGCCTCATTTAGCAGCCATTTGAAATTACAGTGGTTGAAAAAAAAACCAGTTTTATAACCAATCCTTTCATTTATGACTGTCATAGTCATCCCACAATCACATGATTGCCATTTGTATGCTTCATAACTGGCAGAATAGAAAACGCAGATGTGAAATCGTAAGTCACTGTTGTGTGTTGTCTCACTCAGTGACTGCAGAGATTTACTTAAAATGGAAGTGAAGTTGTGGGTCCATTGCAATCATGTGGTTTTTCACTTAGCAACAGATTTGGGGCCCCCAATTATGGTCAGTAAGCAAAGACTACCTGTAATCATTTTTGTACCACAGATATATTTGTAAACTAGAAATATGAAATCTTTTTATTATAATTTGAACCATTTATATAATTTTCATGTAAAATCTTTATAGTATAATTTGAAAAATTAGAATATCAAACCTGCATTAATATTACTTTAAATACCCATTGCTTCACTGCCTGAATGTTTAAAAATATTTGGGTTTTTATGGTTTTTTTCTCTCAATATTTCCATTATTTTAATAGGGGACTGAAGTTAGATTAACCAGGTGGTAATTGACAGGATCACCTTTTCCTTTTTGAAGGTTGGTAGTATATTTTGCTTTTATCCCTATCCTAGTACACTGCTAGTACTCCATCATTTCTTTAACTAGTTCTTTTGNGATATGTTTCTTCTCGGTTTGGTCCATTGTCGGGCTCTCAGGTTTTCATACTTATTTGATCAGCTCCAATCAAACAACCAATGAGGATGTAAGTTTCCCCTCTCTTGCTCTAATTTGTCTTCATCTAATAATTTCATGTATTTCACTTTCACTGTATGCTTTTATCTATTTTTCAAAAGGTTGCAAGGTTTACTCAAGTATGCTGTCTATTTTTGTCTGTATAATGCATATGACTGTACTTTTTTGATAGCTTCTTGGCAAGAAACAAAACATAGTTGAGACACAGTTCTATAGCAAAATCAATGACTTTGTCTTAATTAAATGGAATTTAGGCTAGAAGACCACAATGATAGCATTAATATTTAGAGCAGCCTTCCTCAATCTTTTTTTTCCACATGAAGGTACCCTCAGAATAATTTTCAGATCTCATGGAATTCCTGCAAAAAAATTATAAAAACTGAAAATTTTACTATATAGTTAACTTCTAACCTACACAATCCACATTTTAGAACATTTACAACAGCAAAACAAAATGGTAGGCTGGTAGCTGAATTGTAGCATATAAAAATTCTCACTGCAAGCTGCATTTCCCCCCCCCCCCAGGCATAATCTCTCACAGAATTCTAATTGAAAAAAGCTGTTTTAGAGAATGAGAGTAAGATGCTGGCTTGGCTAGATAATGTTTGCTTTCCCCAAGCTTAAGAAGATGGTCAGAAATGCCTTGGCAGTATACTAATAACTAAAAACAACACAGTTGTCAGAAAACTCTTAATATTTAAAATATAGGTTAGGATCTGTATGCCTGGTAAATGATAATTATGATCCCCATATTTATATAAGAAACTTTGCAAAAGATTTGAGAATTTAATGAAATACCCATTTTCAATAGTTTGGACTGGGTTTGGATGGATTTCAGCAGATTATTTTGGGTCAGTCGCTGTCTCTCAACTATATTTAATTTTGAAGATTAAAAAATGGGGAACGAGGAGAACCCATTCATAGGTCTTGACTCATACCCTACACTGCACTGGATATATGAAATAGAGCACATTTTTAAGGAAGAAAAATTGAAGTGAATCCATTACCATCTATTCTATTGTAGATGAGCACCAGATGTTTCTGGAATGTCTCTTTGGATGATACTTTTTTTTCCTTTGACATTTCTGATTCGCAGCATGAAACAGAAAACATGTATTGAGTTTTTATGGATTAAATGATATATTAAAATGGGCAAAATAAATTCAGGTTCAAGTCAGAACTCATAGAGCATCATAATTTGATATGTAGTTTATTTTTGCTCTAGGTATTTTTTTCTTAGAATAAATAACACTTATAAACTGAAGAGTGCTCTTAAAAATGAAGAATAATGCACCAGTATTTATTTCTTTATAGATCAAGGGATCTTGGTCAAATAAAAGAAGCAAAGAAAACTTCAATCCTTATAGCTATGGCAACATTTGTGTTAATTGTTGCTCAGCACTTTGCGGGCCCCTTTCTCCTAGGTAAGAGATTTAATATAATTGTTCAATATTCTATTTTATTGTATCTTTGTCTGTTTGTTGAGTCAAATAATATGTAACTTACAAGAGCACATACATTGCTATAGGTATAATGGTGGGATTCAAATAATTTAACAACCAGTTCTCTACCCTAATGTAAAATCTGTTTGTGGTCATCACCGGCGTGACACGCCTCACATCGTCGTCATCACCGGCGTGACATCAGTGTCACTAGCGTGACATGCCTCGCGGTGGCATCACCAGCACAACACACCTTGCAGATTTATCATAACTGGTCCGCCAAACTCAACAAAAAATTAAGTATTGGTTCTGCCGAACTGTGCGAACCGGCTGAATCCCACCACTGTATAGGTATCATATGATCTTTGAATCCACTGGTATGTAATTTTATGGTGTGCAACTAATAAGACACTGGGGAAATTATAATATACCAATCTAAGCACAACTAATGAATTTGCTACAGCAAAAACTAACTAAAGCTTTATGGAAAAATTAATCAGCTAGGGTTTTTTTGTCTTCAATAATTTTTTGGTTCACTGTCCAGCTGTGAATGATTACAATTTAAAAATGTCTAGTAATATTTTTGAAAACATAATATTCTAAACAGAATTGTTAATTTGATTTGGACATCTATTTTCAAATGTATTTATCTTCAGTACATACTGTACCACTAAGTCATTCAGCAAACTAGTTAGTATTAGTATTAATAACCTTGCAGGGACATGCAGCAGATGAATAGAAGATGTTTCCTATTGACTTAGAATGATCACTTTATATAAATTATGAGGGCAAACATTTTGGAAATTAAAATAGTTTTTTCCTTACATTGTTTTTACCTAACTCTCATAAGGTGCTATAAGGCATCAGTAAGGCAATAATAAAGAGCAAATCTGCAAAAATAATATGAGATTAATTTTGTACCATGTATAGGTTTTGCCAACTTAAAAATTCATTGAAATATACAATTCTGACGGAAGTGCCTAAACTTGTGCATGCGACTGCGTTCTAAGAAGCTATTTTATTTTTTTGAACTCAAGTTACTTCCATAAATTCTTCATGTTGTTGTATGGAATTATTTGTCTTAAAGTTAGCTTCATTATTATCTGATAAGAATTATTTGTAATGCAACTTTGTATTTATTCTATAGTTTAATTGACCGAAGAGGATTTATCCAACCAGATACCCCTCAGCCAGCAGCTCCCTCAAATGGCATTACAATGTATGGGGCCACACAGTCTCAGAGTAATATGGTAGGAACCATCCCATAATGTTGATCAAGAACTCTGAATGTTTCTCTTTTCTACTTTTCTGAGAATAAGTCAGGTCACTAAGCTGAGTCCTTCTAGTACAGTGGTTCTCAACCTGTGGGTCGGGACCCCATTTGGGGTCGATTGACCATTTCACTGGGGTCGCCAAGCAAGGCTGTCCGCCATTTTTTTTGTCCGCCATTTTTTCCCCTTTTCCGGCGGGTGCCTTATCTCCCTTGGGCTGGGCCAGCTGGTGGTCGGCCTGCACCGTCTCTGCCGCTTGCCAGCTACGCCTCGGCCTGTGCAGGGGGCAGCGAAGGGGGCATGCGTGGCGCTCCTGGGCAGCGAAAGTCCTCGACTTACGACCAGTTGGGTAATCCTCGACTTACGACCGGTTTAGTCCTCGACTTACGACCGGTTGGGGTCGCGGCATTAAAAAGGTTGAGAACCACTGTTCTAGTACTTTACAATAAAAATCTTCCATGAATATATTGCAATAGGGTTTCTGTGACATCAACATTTTAATAAGCATTAATGCAAAATTTAAAAAATACTATAAGAACACTAAGTAAAAATTAGTAATCTAAATTGAGATTGACACGATTAATAGAGAATTGTCCTATTGGAACCTCTGTACCTTAATGCTACTTTTTGATGGTTGGATGTTCAATAAGGCATTTATTGCTTTTTTAATTGTTTTCCTTAAATGCCACTGGCTGTATTGCATAAATTCTTGCTACCTGAGATTTCCTATACTGTACAGCTCAGCATGTCACTATGAATATTTCAAGAGAATAGTTTGAATTTCTTGTGAACATTCTGAAAGCCACTATATTTAATTACTGCAAATTTTTAACTCATGTTTTTATAAAAAAAGAATCCTGATTAGAGTTGTATTCTTCTGGTATATTAAAATTGTGTCAAACTCCTTATATATTTTTATTCCTCCTATTTCTAGACTTCAAAAGAAGGAAAAATATGAATCCCAAACCTTTAAATTTTTTTCATTTAAGTGGAGTACAGTAATAGTACACCTTTTTATAGCTATGTGAATTCTTTTTATACTTTATAACATTAATATAAGGATTTTCCCTTGATCAGTGATTCCTCAGGTGAGTTCATTGATCATTTTTCATATCTGCCAACAATATTAATTTGTTATATTTTAAATATCAAACATTTTATTGACTCCAGTACCAATAATATCTTTTATAGTATTACTAAATGCATAACATAGTCTATCTATCTATCTATCTATCTATCTATCTATCTATCTATCTATCTATCTATCTATCTATCTATCTATCTATCTATCTATCTATCTTATCTATCTATCTATCTATCTTTGTATCTATATCTATATCTATCTATCTATCTATCTATCTATCTATCTATCTATCTATCTATCTATCTATCTATCTATATCTATATCTATATCTATATATATATATATATATATATATATATATATATAT